ACGGTTGCGGCTGCGGTCGGTTTATCGTTTTTTTTTGCCGCAGTGTCACGGTGGCTTCAAGCTGCTTTGGGTGTGCTTGTGTGTGTGCGTAGTTTTAGGGCGTTTTGGAATCTGTGCTTGCAGATCGCATTGGAATGGCTGCATGATCTTGCATGGGCTCTGTTTTGGGGAGGAAGCCGGAGCACGAAACCTTGTGTTTTTCCGTGTAAAGTGGCAGCAGCCGGCGATGAAAGGTACCTCGTCTGTGCGGCGAGTGCGGCTGCGGTCGGTTTGCCTTTTTTTTTGTTGCCGCATTGTAACGGTGGCTTCAAGCTGCTTTGGGTGTGCTTGTGTGTGCGTAGTTATAGGGTGTTTTGGAATCTGTGCTTGCAGATCGCATTGGAATGGCTGCATGATCTTGCATGGGCTCTGTTTTGGGGAGGAAGCCGGAGCACGAAACCTTGTGTTTTTCCGTGTAAAGTGGCTGCAGGCGACGATGAAAGGTACCTCGTGTGTGCGACGGTTGCGGCTGCGGTCGGTTGATCGTTTTTTTTTTGCCGCAGTGTCACGGTGGCTTCAAGCTGCTTTGGGTGTGGTTGTGTGTGCGTAGTTATAGGGTGTTTTGGAATCTGTGGTTGCAGATCCCATTGGAATGGCTGCATGATGTTGCATGGGCTATGTTTTGGGGAGGAAGCCGGAGCACGAAACCTTGTGTTTTTCCGTGTAAAGTGGCTGCAGGCGACGATGAAAGGTACCTCGTGTGTGCCACGGTTGCGGCTGCGGTCGGTTTATCGTTTTTTTTTTTGCCGCAGTGTCACGGTGGCTTCAAGCTGCTTTGGGTGTGCTTGTGTGTGCGTAGTTATAGGGTGTTTTGGAATCTGTATTGGAGTGGCTGCATCCAGGCTGCGATAGGCATTTGTCAGGAGATTTTCTCAATTTTGGCGCTAATAATTTTCCTTTTAAAATTCCTTTTGAAAAGTGCTTCAAAATCGTATTTTTTTCGCTTTGGCGTCGAGATCCGGTTTTGGAGCTGCAATTTCCGACGAGATCCGGTTTTGGAGCTGCAATTTCCGACGCCATTGCACGTAGTTTCTATTGTGTTTTGCAACTCAGTCTCTGCAGATCGCATTGTAGTGGCTGCGTCAAGGTTGCTTGGCGCAGCGGCTGCATGCGTAATACTATTGTCTTTTGCAGCTGAAGATCGTAAATCGTATTGGAATGGCTGCATCAAGGCTGCGAAAGTGATTTGTCAGCAGATTTTTTCAATTTTGGCGCTAATAATTTTCCTTTTAAAATTCCTTTTAAAAAGTGCTTCAAAATCGTCTTTTTGTCGCTTTGGCGTCGAGATCCATCCGGTTTTGGAGCTGCAATTTCCGACGCCATTGCACGTAGTTCTATTGTGTTTTGCAACTCAGTCTCTGCAGATCGCATTGTAGTGGCTGCGTCAAGGTTGCTTGGTGCAGCGGCTGCATGCATAATACTATTCTCTTTTGCAGCTGAAGATCGTAAATCGTATTGGAATGGTCGCATCAAGGCTGCGAAAGTGATTTGTCAGCAGATTTTCTCAATTTTGGCGCTAATAATTTTCCTTTTAAAATTCCTTTTAAAAAGTGCTTCAAAATCGTCTTTTTGTCGCTTTGGCGTCGAGATCCAGTTCCTTAGTAGTAGTAGCAGGAAATGATTCATGAAAGCTTAGATGACATATGAGAAGAGATGAGATGAGAAGAGATGAGCTGGGATAAGGTCAGAAGAGCTCAGATGAGATGAAGTGTGGAGTGTGAAGGGTGCAGTGTGAAGTGTGGGGCGTGAAGAGTGCAGTGTGAAGTGTGGAGTGTTAAGTGTGAAGTGTGGACTGTGAAGTGTGGACTGTGAAGTGCGCAGAGTGCAGTGTGAAGAGTGCAGTGTGTAGTGTGGAGTGTGAAGACTGTCAGGTGTGAAGTGTGACGTGGAGCTTCAAATGTGACATGAGAAACAAGACACCAGTTTCGCAGAGTGCACGCACGCACGGGCTTCGCTGGCGCACGGCGCATGCAAGTTCTATAGATGAGAAAGGTCTTATATATATCTTTAAGGCAACTTCCGCCCCGCCTCGTGCGGGTACTACTGGTAATCACTGGATAAGAATGGATGATAATGGAATATGATCAATGGATAATGGTTATGAAAGTGGGATATGAGTGATCAATGGATAATAATCACTGGTTTTTATGAATGGAATATCAATGGATAATCTATAGGCCCTTGGGATAGATTTATGGTTATCCCATATTATAGCTTCATATTAATCTATAGATTTATATCATTTATATCCCATATTGAAGATTAAGTGCCCATTATTGGATATGAGCTGATTATTAGTGGAATATATTTAATAATCAATGAGATATATTTATATGCTATATAATTGGATATTAATATAATAGTCCTTTCATGGTATAATATATATATATATATACACATACATAACATATATATATATATTAATGGGATATATATATATATATATATATTAATGGGATTGTGAATGGGAAATTGATTATTATTCATGGGTATACAAGATTATATCTATTCATTGGATGTGGTAAACCATGGGATGTATACTAGACCCTCCACTATTTTGACATAGCTGAAAATTGCCACTTAAAGCTGAACATGGCTATGCTTATTGCCATTTTGACTCTTAAAATGAGAATTATTTAGCCAATATTGCTGATATGAATGGGACATGAAATGATATGAATGGGATATTGGTGTAATATCGATGGAATGATTTGGCATTTGGCAAATTTGGGTGATTTGGCCATGTTTGACTTTGACCCACGGGCTTGTCTGAAAATTTGGATACCTCAAAATTGCAATTTGAATGGGGAAAATGATGATCAACCATGACAATTTGGGGCACGCTATTTTCAGACCAACTCATATCAAAGCAGCATTAATGTTTTTTTTAATTATTATTTTTCATATCACCAAATGTCCAAATGTGTGTATATATATATATATAGTGAGTGTAAACCCAATGCCATAAACAGCTACCGTACAAATCTCCCCTAGGACTGATACGGTTGATAACCCCATGAGAAGCCCCATTGAGAATGACATTACCATGTCAAATAGACGTGTATTGGTAAGCGTTCTGTGTTTAATATACACAATAATATAGGGTATGATTTATGTATATATAAATAAAGGTTTATGTGGGTAAAACAATAATAAACCATCCCCCAAATCACCATAGATAGGTGGTATAAGTTATTTCCAAATGGTTGGTTTATTGTTGTTTTACCCACATTATTGTATATGGCAATTAACATCCAGGGAATTGTACGCAACTTCAAGTTACCGTTGCCAGGAGATACCAGGAGATCCAACATCGAGCCGAGGCTGTCAACCGCGACCTGGCGCAGACGCTCGGCAGATCTTGGCAAGGGGTGAGGGCCCAAAATTTCGGGGTCTTGGGTTGGCAGGTTCGTAGGTGAGTCAAAACCTATGAAATTACCATATGTGGGGAACAAACATCCAGCCATTAGCCAGCTCTGAGGGTACCAGGGTTTTGACTCATAGCCAGGATAGTAGGTGAATGTTGTTAACCTGAAACTGGACAATTCCATACTAGCCAGCTGAATATGATAAATTTTTTGCAGGGCATCGAGGATTAGCCCTGAAATGTGTGTTTTTTCCGTCACCTGAAGAATAACCATGGTCAATTGTCCAGTTGATTTTCTTAACTTCTGGGGATTGTTTTTGTGTTGGGCAAGGGGATTCAAATTTCACACAACGTTTTGAATAGAGGGCATAAATCTTATTGTGATTTGCAATTGACTCATCATTTCTACCTTTGGAGAGGTGGATGAACATGGATGTTTACGTCTTGTGCACCACTGTGTTGTTTTTGTGCTTGTGGGAAGACAGGCAGGCAGTACACTGGCAACAATGGGCCCGCAAAGTAAACATGACGATGTTGTTTGTAAACGTGTGCCGGCAGAGAGTCAATGCTTTCATAGATTTTGATGTGAAGTCATGGCCGTCAAAACGATCACGGCAAACATCAATGTTCCATGAGAACGTCAAGCAGCTGATTTGTTGTGGTTTGTGCAGAATTTAAGGAACACCTTTTGGAAGTGTTGAGATTGGGGTGACTTTATGGATTGCAGGGATATCCGGGATATATGTTGATTGCTATAATTTGCTATCATGATCATTGCTTTTATCATTATTGTTTTATATATTCATGTATGCTCTCTCCGACAAAACTAGCGAAACACTAAAGTACTAGGCAGTGGACTTGGGATATTCAAATGTTGTGTTAAAAAACCTTCACAACCGATAGGCGACCACCCACTTACCGATACCGCCGATACCCTATTTTTACATAAATTAAAATAGCATCTATGGAAGTACACACCTTCACAAACCGATAGGGGATCGCGCACTTTGGCCACATCCATTGCGAGTAGTAAGTAATTTTGCCCGCCACTCATATACATATATATATATATATTTTACATTATATATATATAGATAGATACAGATCAATACATATATATATATATATGTATATACTATAGACAAGCACAGTATATATATATAATTCAAATAGTTCAGCCATTTCTTTTTAGAATTCTTACATCTCTGAGGCAGGAAGGCCCTTCACGCAGTGGTCCTTGTGCCGGCGCCGGCACAGCCAGTGGCATCAGCAGCACCGTTCCGGTTTTGACCCGGCTTAGACTGGAAGAAGCTGAAGAAGCGCAGCAGAAAGCAGAGGAAGCGCGACTGGAAAGTGGCTATGGCTTAAAAATTATAGGTGAAATATGGTGAAAACACCAACAATCATAGGGTCAGGATTATTCGAAATGGCACAGTCGGTTTTCACCAACAATCTGGATAAATCAAAACGACCTGATTGTGGAATGTGACTGGACTGATGATAAGATGGGGGTAACCTTTTGCACAGTGTCCTGTTTTTTCAGGGGAGTGAATGGTTTTTATCCAAAAGAATGTGGTTGATGCAACGGACCAGTTTATGGTGATATCAGGGGACATCATAATTACCCTCTGGTAAACAAACAGTTTGCTATTGAAAATGGCTATTTATAGTGGATTTTCCCATTAAAATTGTGATTTTCCATAGTTGTGTTAGTTTACCAGAGGGTAATTCAATGGCCATGAATGGGATACCAATATTGTTCTACCAAAAAAAAAATGACTTCTACCTCATGTCAGATGGGCCTTATGGGGCCTTTTCTTTTGGCGGCCTCAGGTGAGCTGGTGGAAGCAGAGCGAGGATCCTTGAAGCAGGACTTTTACAGCTATCAGGCCTGGTTGTAGTGGCATGCCACTGGCAGCGATGGAGGTTTCCTAAGACATGGGTCTGGATGATTTGGGATGCTTTGGAGGTATCCCCATTTCAGAAAACCTCGATATTTAGTGAACTAAATGGGATGAAGATGGATGATGGATGAATATCCAAATTCAGAAATGTTAGCACCAAAAACATTAGGATGGGTGCCGCACAAGCCACCACGCATGGTGTTGGGGTTCAAGAATATCTGAAAAGTCTGTCGGACCTGAAATGACTTGAAAGCCAGGATCATGCGCTCGAAGATTAGTGGTGTGATAGATTCAGTGAATCAAGATATAGCTTTGCTGGTCACATCACTCACAAGTTGTAATGGAAGCCACTAAGTGGGTGCCTTCACACCACTGTATGGTAAGTTGACTGGACATATTTATCAAGCAACACATGGACATGGGTAAAGTTCAAGACCCGAACCACCCATTGCTAGCCTTTTTTAATCGCATGTCTACTGTATCTAATTGATTCTAGCATTGGGTACCTCAATGACTTTGACAATACCCAAATGTCTTAGTACACGTTCCTTTTGGAATATGTTTGCTCTTATATGACATCCTAGCGTATTGGATGATCCATCATGATTTTGATTGACTGGGATACTTTTGGGATAGGGTGAAACAAACCACCGCCCAGCCCAGAGTGTTTCATGGACGTCTCCAATGGTTGCTCGGTTGCTCAATTCTGACCTCTACACCCATCATCATCATCATCATCATCATCATCATCATCAGCAGCAGCAGCAGCATCTTCAGGCAGCGCTTGACATGTTCATTTTTTTGATCTAATCCCCTCGGCTCCTTTATTTGTTGATCTTATATGATCTTATATCATATATTAAAATCAATAATATCTATTACCTTTCGAAACCGTTCGAGCTTTGATCCCCGGCCAGGTCTTGTTGGATCACGGCAGCAGCCAGCTCCAGGATCTCCAGGGCGAACTGCAGCAGCTGCGCTCGCGGCTCTCCGGCGCTCCACGCCGCGATGCGCTGCGCGCTGCCGGGGCGCCGCCGACGCCGGCGGAGACCTGGCGTTGGGGACGTCGGCTTGGGGATGTGCCAGGAATTGTCCTGGAAAACGGGGGAAAACATGGGAAAACATACTGAAAAGCATGAAATTCAGATGTTTTTCACTTCAGACATGGGAAAAGACCTGGGTCACCTGGTGTCGATTTCAGGGAGTTGGGTGGATGATCGAAGGACATATCCTTGACAATAGATGACAGTAGCTAAATTATTTTATGTTTTGATTTATATCCAATGTTGGTCTTGAAGGGGTCTTTACTAGAAATATGATGATGAGAAGTTCTAACTTACCTGCAACTAGGATTCGATTTTCCGGTGAAACAGGCTTTGTAACCCAGATGGGTCTCACGATTTTCCAACTCTCTGGAACTCCAATGATCGTCTCCTTCGTGGGCCTCTTAAAGTCCCAGTGATTCTCCAGATTGAAAGCACTTCTTCCATCTAACCCTGTCCATATTTAACCACTAAACTGGTTGGTGGTTTGGAACATTTTTGATTTTCCCATCATATTGGGAATGTCATCATCCCAACTGACTTTCATATTTTTCAGAGGGGTTGGTTGAAACCACCAACCAGACTAATTCAAAGGGTCTTTAAACGATCCAATTCTGCGCCTCAACTGCACCTGAGGACAATTTGATGGCTGCCGGCTTGCAACGTCGCGTGGGTCTGTCCTTGGCTGCTGGTCGGGAGAGCAGATGTCTCATCCAAGAGGAGTGTGGCTAAGTGGCTAAGCCTCCGCAGCCTCCGGTGATTTCACCCTCCAGGGATGGTCATAGGCGTTCATAGCCAGGAAAGGACAATCATTCATGATGCTGGGATGACCATATCCCGTATATCAATGTATATCATGTTTTACCAAGCCATATAGAATGGTATTTATGGGATATAATCTATGGAATATGTGATTACCAATAGCTGGTGGTTTCGTAAACCGGGGGACCCCAAGTCATATCAAGTTACTATCCAAACTATTGCTTATTTTCAATCATCAAACACCATCCATAGATAGGGTTTGTCTCTAGCACTAGGGATACCCCAGATCATGACAAATATGAAAGTGTTGAACCATTCGGGACGTAGTTGGGTTCCATTTGTTTGGACAATCCCATTTGTTGCGGTTGTATTCTTATGAGTCATGTGTCAAAAATTGGTGATATTTTCCAGCAAAAGGAAACAAAGATTGTTGGAATTTGTCGATTTCAGGAAGGATAAGGATAAGATGATGCTTCAGTACAGCCAAGATTGTGGGTGTGAGCCGCTGTCCCTGCATTTTAAAGCAACTGCTGGTTCCCTACTGTACACGGAGAACTGTACCAACGTTTCGGATTATACAGTGAGTCCTAGGATGTCCTAGGCTGTGTATTCCCAATGATGAAATCTCAAGGTAGGGGTCCGGTATGCTCCAGGCCGAGGGGGTGCAAACAAGAAATGCAGGATTTGTTGGACTGAATCTGTTGGAGTGGAAACCTCCTACAAGCTTGGCTGGGTGGAGTCATATGTCTGACATTGTCTGACCCGTGGAAGAAACTTGACACTTAAGCCGCTTAAGCCTCAAATTACTATGAAGATACATCAAAAGCTGGTTAAGTATGGTTAAACAATGGTTAAGTAGCCATTGATACCAATATCTTCATGCAAATCTTGAATCGCCAGGAGCAGCTGAAACGACAACTGGCTGAGCAACGAGTGGTAGACCGCCACGCGGGACGCATGGAAGACCTGGGTGCGACAGCAGAAGAGACCTTGTCGAATGGCGCCGTCATAGGTGGGGTCCTCATGGCTGGGAAATCCCCGCGTTCCGCGTTGGAGCTTCAAAAAGCTGGGAAAATCATCCAACATATCCAACAAAAATCGCATTGGATGGTTCATATTCTTATTCAACTATTCAAGTCTGTGGTCTGTGGTCCCCAGATCTTTAAGTTTGATCCATACCCACATAGACCCCAAGATACCCCAAGGTCACAATCCAGCTGCACAGGTCCCGGCTTCAGCGGCATCAGCGCCGTCGACAGCGCCGTCGACCGCGACGTAGGCACCATGGATGCCTCGCAAGAGCTGCGGGCGCGACTGGCGGCACTGCGGGGGCAGTTGAATCAAGGCACCAAGGGACGGGACGGGAGAGGAATTGGTATCCAATCTTTGAAGAATTCTATAGATGTTTATAATTTATAATCATCCATCTATCTCTGACTACATTTATAAGTTTGTAAACCTGTTTCAAACAGTGTTTCCATTTTATGATAATATACTATATAATATAAGGATATATAAGGATCCATACGTGTTACAAAAACCCTTTGGTGATTTGACATGTTGCTATGGAAAAAACCCTCCTGTAATCAGTCCTGCAATCAAATGTGGCTAGCTGGAAAATCCCCTATAAATGGAGATTGTAATTGGAAAATGGGACATTTCCAATTGCCCTGTTTGATTACTGGAGGGTACTTAGAATTTGTTTCTATGTGTATATATATATATACAATTTACTGTCATAATGTGAGTATTAAAAAGCTTATGTTTGCAGAAATATATTCTTGCTATATTGGAAGTAATGAAAGAAGCAATGATACATTATAGTAGTGTGAAATACATGTCAAGTACTGGAACTAATAATGAAACACTGTTGTTAGATGTTGTTAGTCTATAATTAGGCATACTATTATATCAATATACAAAACACAATAGCATATATGATCCTAACATGCTGGGGCCTTTTTTTTTGCGCAGCACCCATCAGGAGGATTCGGATGGATTTGGGGGGGCCAGCATCGATCTTAAATGGAGATATGAACCCGCAAACATTCGAATGTTTCAGCAGCAAACGCGGATGCAGCCAAGGTGAACAGCCTAGATGTTTACATGCCACATCCACCGCTACCCAGCCCGGCCCGACTTGTTGAACAGCAGGTGCCTCCGGTGACAGTCTACGCACTGAACTGCGGCCCAATTTGCACGAGCAGCTGCAAGTGTTGCGAGAGCAACTGGAACGATCATAGGCCAAAAAACTGATATGAATTTGATATGAAGGTTTCCTGAAATAGGGGTACCCCTAAATCATGATTTGAATAGGATTTTCCATTGTAAATCATCCATTTTAGATCCCCCATTTATGGAAACCCCCATATTCTTGGATTATTCCGACCTGATGGCAATCTAGATAGGTAAACATGTTAGGGAGTTTCGAGTCACGAATAAATGTGTTATTAATTGGTTTTGGTTTGAGATCTACTGCAATCTTTCATTTATTTTCTTGGATCAAAAAAAGGGTTCATATGTAACCCACCATTTTATGGGTGTATATGGGGATGTAAAGGATAGAACATGATAGAACCAACAGTATGATATTTATATATATATACATATTTATATACACATCAAAATACACCAATGTTCACGCATTAAACAAAGGGGAGCAGCTCGTTGTTTCCAACCGTGCGATTGGCTTAGCTGATTTTTTTTTGGCCCGGGTCATCATGGTTATCTCTAAGGTGCCTTTGGTGGAACAGTGAACAACCATCCCCTTTTGGTGGTTAAACTGGTTGGGTTTACTACAATGACATTGATTATTAAAGCTGGTTTGTGATTATATTATTAATTAAACTCAGCACAAAAAAAATGACACACAATCATACTGACAATATTCTGTACTACAATCATATTATATATTGAAAGAAATTACAGTTGGTTTGCGATTATATGATTCAATACGCTCTATGAAACAATAAGAACCATATTTATGAGTGTTCACCATATTTGAAGATTTGATTGTTATGGTTTCAGATGCCCCCCTTGCAGATGATTTGCCTCCCGTATTTGAAGAGTCCGCTCTGGAAAAGTTCCCGTATTTAATAGGTAAATCATGGAACTAATTGGCCGCCAGGCTTCCAGCATCTTCCAGCTATGTTGGTTTATGAAGCCATGGGATTGATATTATGAAATGTTATTTAATCATGGCTACATAAATATGATTAAATAATCTAGTTATCCATTTCTAGTTATATAACTAGTTATCTACTAGTTATCTAGATTTCATGTTATGAAATATCTAGTTATCTATAAATAATATATTTATTTAAACTCATGATTCATAGATGAATTTTCTGCTGGAAAGCCATGGGATTTTCCCCCTCGATGCGGCCTATATAGATGCTGAAACTTCCAGCCACTGGATCGATGGTTAAACGCCAGCCAGCTTATTTGCCAAAGCCGGATTCAAATATGTACATTATCGTAGTGTAAAATACATGTCAGATACTGGAAATAATAGTGAAGCACTGTTGCTAGTCTATAATTAGCTGTTTGGTGCTTTGGAACATTTTTTATTTTTCGATATATTGGGAATGTCATCATCCCAACTGACGAACTCATATGTTTCAGAGGGATTGAAACCACCAATCAGAACATATGTATATACAGAAAATCTATAGAAATACATAGGAAGAGTGAGACAATTCAGAGACCTTTGCAGTGAACGTTTGACTCGACTCTGGATCTTCCAAGCTTTCCGGATGGAACGGCGGGGTAAATTGTAGTGTTCGGACTGCTATAGATGAGTCATGCCTGATTTGGCTAGGCAAGGATTGAATTCTGCATTACAACAATGCAATCGCTGATTACGAAGCAATCTCTTTGTCGTGTCCGTCGATTGCAAAGTGCTCGGCAGAAACAAATGCGATGTGCCATGTGGTATGCATACTGCAGTGAACAGAGCATTCACATAAGCAATTGTTTCAGGCGCTCAATGACTCAGCAGCGTCTTTGCAGCGTCTTTGTTCTTGAAACGTGAACGTTGCAGCTTCAAAAACACATCATGGTGAAGAATCTCTGGTGAAACATGAAGCCAATGGCCCAAGGGATCATGTTGCGAGTTGCAGATTGGTCGGATCATGTCGGGTCATTGTTTGTTTGATGAAAAAAACACTGAACATGCAATCCAAGATCTTCCAAGATAATAATAATAATAATAATAATAATATATATATATTGCTTCTTTAAAGAGTGGTTTGTTATTTTCTGGTTATTCAACAAGTATGATTCATAGCTACTGGCTGCCAGTGCCTTTCAGTTCCGGGTTCCCCGCTTCCCAATCTCGGTTCCAAGACTTTGCCAGGATGGCAAGCACTAAAAAAAAAAAACACCATTCCCCATGTGTTGTGATGAACGGTATCAGTTTTTTGTTAAGTTTGATGTACTCTCTGGTAGTTTTTCACAGTTTGCTATGGAAAAAAAAACATGGTTAAGTTTGGCAAATCAACGAACTAAATGGCCATTTTCCATAGCTATGTTCAATGAAACCAGAGGCTAGTTGATGAACTGAACCACGCGTTTGTCTTGGGAGAAACAAAAACTCTCATGAGATCTTCGGTGCAAGATGGTGCAACACTGCAATCTCCTTACGTGTTTCTCATGGCTTTGTCCACAGCGTCGCGTCGCGTCTTTTTGTGAGCCCCGCAGCTCGGCAATGGAGTCGTCCGTGTCGGCCGCGGTGGATGCAATGAATGAGTTGGCAGGGCAGGACACCGAGGACGGGAATTGCGCATTGAAAATGGCTACCCTTTTGGTATTCAAACATGGACAGTGATGGAAAATCATGGCGCCCAAAACTGATAATTATATATAATTATTCATGTTGGCCCATGTTGGCCCCTAAATGAACATCTGTGAACAATCATGGAACATCATGTAGAATCAGTATGATTATATAGTAGAAACAGAAGTAACATTATCATCAGTAGTTGTCAGTTGCTTCTCGGTTGCCATGTTGTCTGGAGAAGTCACATCGACCAAACCCCAGGTTCCGAGCCCTTGAAATTGGGCTTTGAATTTGTTTGAGAAGGTCATATGAGTTATGTATATACGTATAGATAATAATCGGCTGTTTTTTGGGGATATATATATATATAGTTTGAATATTACATGAATTAGAATATAATATATATATATATATATTATATGTATATCAGTATAATATATATAATATATATAATATATACAAATATATAAAGGATATATAGGTTTATACACAACCAGTAGGGTGTTTTGTGCCCTTTTTCGATCTCCAGGCGTTTTTCGATGGCGTCACCATGGCCTTGACAAAGGCGGTGAAGCAACACTACGAGCGGCGCTTGAAGGCCGGAGCAATGGGCAAATCATGGGGATACCTGGTGGATGGTGTTGACTTTTTACGTGACTTAAGGTGGTGCCGTTTTCCGTGAAAACCATAGGAAAACCATAGGAAAACCATAGGACAACCATAGGAAAACCATAGGAAAACCATAGGAAAACCATAGGAAAATGGAGGTTGACCCTCTGGTAAACGTTTACAATACGTTTACATAACTATGGAAAGATCCACCATGTTGAATGGGAAAACTCACTATTTCGACTGGGCCATGGCTTCAATGTCGCAAAGTGTTAGTTTACCAGGCCGGGTATCATGGGGATACGATGGTTGCGAAAAGCGAATCACCAGTTAATAGGTGGTAAACATCCGATTATTTATAGGGTTTCAAACATCCAAGGTGATGCAGGATTTGTTCATATTTGTTCCATCCACAGTATCATGGCTAGATGTGAGGAAATAACATCTTGTGACCCACAATGGAATCAGAGTTATGGAAACATTTAATGGAACAAATATGGAAAACCCTTGCCATCTGAATGATATCCCAAAAATCATATTCCCATTTTATCATAGTTGGGAAATAACACAGGGATATCATGGGAAAGTTATGAAAAAAATGTTCTCAAATGGGGATAGAATTGCCAATGAGAACATCATATTAGAATGGTCAAAAATCTGGGCTGATTATGAGTTTGGGCATTATACTAGCCAGTATACTGGGGATTGCAATAATCCAATAGGCGAATCCCGTTCTTAAGCAAACAGTACTGCTTGGGTTAATTTCTTGCCTTTTTACGGAAAAAAATAAGGGCGGGTTTGGTATACTATTTGTTAAAATCTACCTATTGGTTGTTGAATGGAAATAGGACATCTATGATATGGTTTGGTAGATATCCCTGTTTGGATATGTTCAACATCACTTGAAAAAATATTTGTTGGAGACTATATCCCTAACAGTTGGGTGATATTTTATTAGGACATTTCCCAACCCTAAAGATCATATAGGTGTAGTAATCCCTAAAAACAGATAACAAACATCACTATTTTGTAGGATTTTGATGTTCTATCTTTGTTGGGTTGCGAAACAAATGCTGTATGTGCCATGGTCAAGTCATCTAGGGTGAAAAAAGCGGAACCTTCATTCAAGGGTTCCAATTGCGGGATGGACAGCCATGAAGCGAAAAAAACATGTTTTGACCTGACCGCACATGATCGGATTATCCATGTTTTATGGTTCTGGCATTAAGATATATTATGATTATGTATACAGATGTATATACAGACACCCACTATTTCCCATTATAGTTTGTAAGACAATGGGAATCTATTGCGTACTATACCACTAATATGTCATTTGGATTTTGGGATGCCCATTAGAATTGTATCTTGTTATATAATTATGTTTGACAACAATAGCATGGGTTTTAGATATAAACATACCATCTAGATAATCGGAATAATGAGGTATGCGGATACATATTAGTTGGATTTAACGGGTATGTATATGGGAATAATGAACGTACCATAGGGACAATAATGGGTATATGGGTATGCGATAATCCAATGTGAATTCGCTGTTTAACATGCTGCAACCATCCTTTAATTTGGGTCTGGTCGCTGTGAACAGAGTAGACAACAATAGTATGGGGATATGATAGATATATATTGAGGAAGATGTAATCCGCATAAAGGAATATAGTAGTCCAAAAATAGTAGAGGTTTTCTAAAAATGGGGGACCCCAAAACCATCCTTGCTGAAATAAAACAAAACACGTGTCAAGAAACCCTCGCAAATTTGATGTCAACATCGAAAAACCAGGATTGCAATTTTGCCAATCAAGCAGCGGATTTAAGTAGTAGAAGCATGATCTTCGGATTTTTCCATTTTACGACAACAGGTATGATAATTGTACAATGGCAAAACTAGAATGAGTATGATATTGGCCAATACTATGGTATGGTAACGGGTTCATTACATCGTAAACAGTGGAGTATAGTGGTGCACCGAGGTTACGACTGATGACTATTTTCGGATGTGATCAACCACAGGAGCCCCAGAAACTTTCTGATACAGTGTACCCTTGTTTTGGTCAACGGAAGTAGCTAGGGTTAGTACTTGAAGAGCCTATCAAATGTCGATGATGGTCGATGGGTCCATTGTTGTCAGAGCCCAGACTGTCCCAATTTTTACCAGGTCTTGGTTTTTGGATGGTGTTAACAACTTTTCTTCACGATTTTCAAGAAAGTGTGCGCTTAAAATCTTCGTCCATGCTGCAGGACGTTCATCCCTTCAGTGTCATGGTCCTATCGGATCTATCGGCCCATTTTTGTGGCTCATTCAGATCTTCCGGTGGCTAAAAGCCATGAATTGATGACTCATTCCCCATGGAGAAATCACCGTTTATCACAGGAATTCCAGTACCCAGGTGGTCAATCCGAAATTTGTTGGTACCTGAACATTCGATTGAAATAGCTGAAGTAACTGATGTAACTATCTTTTTTTAAGATAAGGATGCTTAACGGATGCTTACCTCCCCATAGAATGAGGTGACTAAATATTTAATCTTAAGCAGCAAAACCCATTGTTTTCCGATCATTTATGGATCATTATCATGTTCCCAGGGATTTCATAAATGATCATTCAAAAGCACCAAATTTTGTCCATGCTTTGCCATGGGATCCCCCGGCTGGCAGTTTCAGCCGCAGCATTTCAGGCTGAGACGGAGGCGATCCGTCAGGCCTATGACGATGCGATTCAATTGGAGCCTTTGGAAAAATGGGTTGGTGGCTTCCCCAACCTGGATATTATGCTAATGCCAATACCTTTATGGGATACTGTGGATATGTGTTTTTTTTTTAATGGTTTCATATGATTTTATGGGATGCAACACTGAGATATGGATTTTATGGGATGTAACATGAAGTAACCAACTAAATATGGGGATATAACTCTTGATATCATTGGAATATGATATCAGATATTAAAAAAAAACTCTGGTATTTTTTCGTAGCGAACAACGGAGGCCCTTGGCTGCCCATAGAGCCATAGATGATCTACACGTTAAATCATCAGAGGCTAATCCTTCAATTCTTTGCTGATAGAAAAGGGATTTTATCACCAGCCCAGCAGAAATTATCAGAAATTGAAGGACAAAATCAGCACAATATATGGAATATATTGTTGGCTGGAATATAGAAATGTTATCTGTAATATATGGAATTCCAAGATTACCATAGTTTACCCCATTTTCGAACAAAGCCATCTCATGGAATATCTGAATATCTGGAATTATCTGCCAAGATTACTGTAAGTTTTTATGGTCAAAGATTACTGCAGGTGCTGTGACATACTGTGGATGGACAAGACAGGTAGCTCTTGGCTATTGGTAACTCTGACACACTGTACATAATGGGATTGTAATGAAATAAACCATCTAGCAACTGGTGCAGATTTCTTCCATCCACAGTATGGAGGAAAATGGAGGAAGTTGTTTCTTTGTTTTGTGGAGTAGACGCTGGAGGACTATGATGATCTCCCACTAAAACTCTCTGGAACTTGACTTTTAGTGGAGTGGCATAAAGTTCGCCAATTAGCCAAGCAGGTGATCTGTAGGTCGTGGGTGTCACGTTGATCTGTTGGTTGATGGTTTCAATTCGTTGAAACAACCGATCGGATGTGGAAATGGTCGGGATCGGTGGAAATCGCAAGCCTTTGCTGGTAACGTTCAATAGAAGCTTGATTCAAAATAGCTGGATGTGGTTCAGATGAAATGAAAAACTCTGCCACATGCTTGTATATATTGGGTGAAGCCGCGGCATAATTTGGGATATCGGCACTTTTTCACAGGGGAACCATGTTGTTTTGGCAGCCGCCTTGGTCATAGAGGGCACTCAAAAGTCATTGGTTCCTGCTGGTCACAGCAACCAGACCCTCAATTTACATGAATTGGTAAATAAACCCAATGATATCCATTGTTTGGGATAAAATCATGTAAATATAAAGTCTCTTTTTGAATCATTACTTTGAGGGTCAAGATATATATCTAAAAATTACTGGAAATCCTTCAACCAAAGGTGGTTAATCAACCCCTTTCTGTCATGCTTCAAATCCTAACTTAGTGATGCTTGATATTCCCATTCGCTGATAGATCTGATAGTGTAATCCCCACTTTTGTGTCATGCAAAAAGGCCATTGGGATGATGTTTGTTTTAACCCGGGAGGTGCACTGATGCAGTCGCCTTACCCTTTGGCAATCAAGCATGGCAATGGATGGAAACAAATGCCAGTGATGGATGATTTCCCTATTATACATACATATATATATAATATATATATATATACACATACGTATATAAATATATATATATATACACACAAATAAAACCTTTAAGTTCGGGGATTTTCCAAGGAAAGAAGATGCTTTCAGTCGCAATTACAGGCACTGGGTGTGGAGCCTCGGGGAACGAGTCGCAATTTTGGGCGCCGAAGCCGAAGCCGTGGAAGTTCCAACGTTGGAGGCCTGGTAATTACCCTCTGGTAATTTAACATAGCTATTGAAAATGGCCATCTATAGTGGATTTTCCCATGAAAAATGGTCATTTTCCATAGCTATGTTAAATTACCAGAGGGTATATCAAATAATGGGTATAGGCATTCCCATATGATTCCATATGATGCTATATATATATATAATTATTATCCATTCATAATTGGACTATTATATGGAATTTATTTGCGTATAGATATCATATACCATCCATGAAAAAACTCTTCGTCATCCGGGACCAGCCGACAGCACTTTGACCCGAAGGCAGCTGGGGAGTTTGCTCAATTCTTTACCAAACAGTCCACTTGCCGTGGGTAAGACATTGCGAAACCCTAAGGCCCTATAGTACTCCTATGCATCAAACCTTAGTCTTGGAGATCACACTTTTGGGTCTTTTGTGCGCTTTAAGCCAGTTTGATCAATCACTTAGGAGTTAGGTTCTCATCCCAAATCCTCTTTGTAGCTGATTTTATGTATATAAATCCATGTTTCTTTGCGAAATCAATACATATCAACACATATATACCTGGTGGTTTCTATATCGTCAATCTCCAACGTCTTGACTTCAAATTTGATTTGTCTTTGATCCCCCAATCTTTTTGTTAAACTTGCCATTTTTTTTGAGTTCAACCACCACACACAAGGTGGTGCCCACCCAGCACTTATTGGAATGAACTAACACCAAATTAACGAGCAACTTGGGGCACCACCAGCTATGGGCCTACCATGATTTGTGATATTTGTGTGAACATATCTCAAGATGATTCAACATGCAATGGTTTAGAGCATCACTTTCGCAAAGATTGGTATTTTGGGTCATCCTTTACTTTGACAAAATTACTTTACTTCGTGTGATCCCCACCATGACATTTATACATTTTCTTACTGGCAAAAAAATAGGCATTCTATCTGACATATCTTCTGACATTCTATTTGACATTCTATCTGGCATATCCTCTGGCATATGATCTGGCATATCTTCTGGCATATCTTCTGGCATTCTATCTGGCAAATCTTCTGGCATTCTATCTGGCATATCTTCTGGCACTCTATCTGACATATCTTCTGGCATTCAATCTGGCATTCTATCTGGCATATATTCTGGCATATCTGGCATTCTATCTGACATATCTTCTGGCATATATTCTGACATATCTTCTGGCATATCTTCTGGCATATCTTCTGGCATATCTTCTGACATCTATCTGGCATATCTTCTGGCATATCTTCTGACATATCTATCTGGCATATCTTCTGGCATATTTTCTGGCATTCTATCTGGCAAATCTTCTGGCATTCTATCTGGCATATCTTCTGGCATATTATCTGGCATTCTATCTGGCATATCTTCTGGCATATATTCTGACATATCTTCTGGCATTCTATCTGGCATTCTATTTGGCATTCTATTGGCATATCTTCTGGCATATCTTCTGACATTCTTTCTGACATTTTTTCTAACTTTCTTCTGCACATTCTTTGTCCCATATCTTCCTACATGAGTCCGGCAGGGAACACTTGGCGTGGATACTCGCGGTTGAGGTCCGGCAGGGAACACTGGGCGTGGATGGTCGTGGTTGAGGTCCGGCAGGGAACACTGGGCGGGGATGGTCGTGGTTGAGGTCCGGCAGGGAACATTGGGCGTGGATGGTCGTGGTTGAGGTCCGGCAGGGAACACTGGGCGTGGATGGTCGTGGTTGAGGTCCGGCAGGGCACACTGACGTGGATGGTCGTGGTTGAGGTCCGGCAGGGCACACTGACATGGATCGCAGTGGAGCAGGAGGAGGACGAGGAGGACGAGGAGGAGGACGAGGAGGACGACGAGGAGGAGGACAACGAGAGGAGGAGGAGGAGGACGAGGCAGGAGGCAGGAGGAGGCAGGAGGAGGCAGGAGGAGGCAGGAGGAGGCAACTGACATAAAATCTAACAACCCTCACCTGGCAGGTGGGGAAATATACAAAACCCAGTAGGTCCACTAAAACAATAAACAGCAACTTCACTGTATAAACCCCAACTGACCCAAAGAAGATCTGGCGATATATCCCTTCATCAAGCCTTTGCCAAAGCCTCCGAGGCCAAAGTTTGGGGGACTCCTCGCCCAGTGCTGAGGCTGAATCCTTCAGACACTCGGAAAATTTCATGGGCTGCTTTTGGGTCAAAAATGTGGGAGATCTTTTGGGATTTTGAACTAGACAGTCATGGAAAACTGTATAAAATCATATGGAATCATGCGAACATTATATAAAATCACATTAAACATTAGACATCATACAAAGAATCATATGCAAGCGTGAAATTAGGGATTGTTTGATTGGAAAAAATAAGGAATATGATTTGATGTTTAAAATTGATTTGTAGCTGGCAAAATCATCTAGAAACGCGGGAACATTAAATCCACAACTTGTGGGGAACACGATGATTGAATGGGGGTAATCCCCCATTTGGAAGCATACCCTCTGGTAAACTAATGTAGCTATGGAAAATCACCATTTTATAGCTGGGAAAATCCACTATTTCGACTGGGTCATTTTCAATGTCGCAAACTGTTAGTCAGTACCAGGCCGGGTAATCCATTATTAACCATAGATTATCCATATATTATCCATATATTAACCATAGAACCATAGCAATGTTGTGTAAACGTGACTGTTTGCGCGCATATCTTGCGGGGCGACGCCATGACTTTGACGCCGATCTCTCCAGGAGACGCTTCCCAGATTCAGAACGAGATGACGCGATATCTCCGCAAAGAGGCGAGGTCGCGAGGTCCAAAAATCACTGGATTCGATGGGACAATTTACAGGAAAATCATGGAAAATCTGCAGGAAGACCTCGTTTTTGATGGGAAAGTCAATAGGAAAGTCTATAGGAAAATGTATTTTGTCAGGAAAATCTACTGATCTAGTTTTTGCCTTTTGGCCATTAAATGTGTGAATGATGCAAGTAAATTTATCCGCGACTTTAACAATGCAGCAGCAGATAGATCTATAATACCATAAACCATAGTCAGCCTAGCTATATTAACCAACTAAAAGAGGAGATGTGCAGAAGGGAACATTGTAGGTATGTGGAAAGCCGCGATGATAGCTGCTGATAGATGATATGATATCTTATCTACGTGATGATGTACAGTAGGCTGAAAGTCTATATATACTTATAAATTGAAACATCATCATCATCATCATCATCATCATCATCATGATCATCATCATCATCATCATGATCATCATCATCATGATCATCATCATCATAATCACCATCATCATCACCATCATCATCATCAGCACCATCATCACCATCACCATGACCATCACCATCATCACCACCACCATCACCGTCATCATCATCATCACCACCATGATCATCATCATCACCATCATCATCATCACCATCACCATCACCATCAACATGACCATCATATCATCATCATCACCACCACCATCACCATCATCATCATCACCATCATCACCGCCATCATCGCCATCATTGTCACCATCATCATTCTTTATCATCATCATCATCATCATCATCACCATCATCATCATCATCATCACCATCACCATCATCATCATCATCACCATCATCGTTATCACCATCATCATCATCATCACCACCATCATCATCACCACTATCATCATCATCATCACCATGATCATCATTAAACTGTTTGTGTTCTGGCCAGGCTCTTTCTCAAGAATGCGCCTACAGTCCGGCTATCGCAACAATGTTGCAGGAAGTGCTAAACAGCAACTTGGTCCAGTTCTGGACCAGTTTGAAGTCGACCTGACCATGTCTTCATCAAGGATGGTTCACTTCATCACGGGGGGAAGACCACCAAACCAGGTTGCTTCTGATAGGAGATTTCCTGTAAATTTCCCAGGTCCATGTGGGCCACCCTAGCCGCTCACTTGAGCCACCAAACGCTGTCGAATCCGTTTAGCAAGATGTGTTGAAATGGATCCAAAAGATGAAAGAGGGATTCCGAGAGTTGTCACCTGCTGCTGCTGCTGCAGCTGCTGCTGCTGCTACTGTTTTGATGATGAACATAATCATATCATTATTTTGTTACTATTTTCTTCTTATTATTTCTATTATCAATATTATTGTTTTTGTTGGCGTTATTATTTTTATTCTTATGATCATCATTATGATTATTATGTTGTATTACTATGATTGTGAAAACTAGTCAGTAGTAATATTCTTTTCATATGTATATGTTATGTATGATGATGGTGATGATGATGGTGATGGTGTTGATGATGATGATGATGCTGATGATGATGCTGATGATTGTGGTGATGATGGCGATGATGGCGATGATGTCGATGATGGCGTCGATGATGGCGATCATGATGGGGATGATGATGATGATTATGATGATGATGATGGCCATGCCCCGTGTCCTTGTGGCTATCATACCTCTTTCTCGTTGTCCTTGAGGCGTGCAGCTGCTGAATGACCATTGCAGCCTGGCCTTGGGCGGAGGGCAGATCTTCGGTCGGCAGCGCCTAGCCTTCTCTTGATGGTAACCATGGAGAATCACCATTTTAGCAGATTGCTGAACTAAATGGGCCATGTTCATCCATTTTTCATAGCTATATGAAATTATCAGAGGGTCATCACAATACCTAACGGTTCATTCTAGAGTTTCAATGGTAAAATCCTGACCATATGGGCAACCCAATGCCATAAACCTACCATTTGGGAATGGTTGGAATCCTACCCGTAAAAATGGTGATGACTTGGGGATGGTTTATGGCATTGGATTTACCACTCTAGTCATCCATGTAATTGATATAATACAATTTTTAGTGGGTGTTGACGCCAATTAATTAAATCGAGGGGCTGGCTGCCCAGGCTCCTGAACCGCATCAAACATCGCACATCCAGAATAAGACATATTCATCCTCAGAGCCCTCTTCCTCCTCCTCCTTCTCACAGCCAGTACCATCACCGTCATCACCATCATCATAATCACCATCACCATCACCATCACCATCATCATCATCATCACCATCATCACCATCACCACCACCACCAACATCACCATCATCACCACCACAAGCATCATCATCATCATCATCATCATCATCATCACCACCACCACCACCAATCATCATCACCATCATCATCATCATCATCATCACCAGCATTATCACCACCACCAACATTATCACCACCACCACCACCATCATCATCATCATCACCATCATCATCATCATCATCATCACCAATAACGAGATGACATATAAAACATACAATATATATATATTATATATATATATATTTTTTTATGGTCTCCGGTTTCATTCCCCGACTTCGGCAGCTCCGCTGGGGCCAGGTAAGAGCCGCTTGCGCACCATGACGGCCACCTTTTGTCCCAGGGGCCTCACGGGCAAGGAGTATCCCTTGCAGGTGAGACCAACTGAGGACGGCCCATTTGGGGACTGGACACGCATAGGCAATTTATCAGAAACGATGGATGATAATGATAATCGATATACCGTATATATATATATATGTATTGTTGTATTAATAAATAAATATATATATATATATACAAATAATATATATATATATATATATACACATAGATAATATAAATGATACTGTATACATGATATGACTTATATGACCTTGAGCATCTATGATCTATATGGTTTTGCCTGAACATAAGGTGACCAAAACCCCTGTCATTCTGATTCCATCTGGAATTAACCATTTGGGGGATTTACCAATTTTTCGGACAGACCCATATATATTATATAGACATTTGATGATGAAACATAATAAAAGATAGCATAAATATTATTTATATATATATACATATTTGATATGATATATATATATATACATACATGATAGATTAATGATATGGGTTGTATAAATTTCCTAACATCCCACTGGTTGGTCGGTGAATAGAGGGTTCCCAAATGAAAACCAACCCATAGGTAGATGATTATAAATAATATGCTAGTCACCGGCCCCAGAACATCTTTCCTAAAAGGACAAGACTGCTGGAAACAGGGTCGGAGACATTTTGGGGCTCAATGCCATCCACTAGATGCACAATTATATATATATATATACATACACAGTATACACCATTACATTATGACAATCCACATTTGTGGCTTTAGATCCCACTAAGCTCCAAAAAACATCTCCTGGATTCTTTGGTGCAACTAATCCCATCCCTGTTGCGCTGAGGAGACCGTGAAGGATGTGAAGCAGAAAATCCGTGCAGAGTACTGCAAGACGTGTGAGGTGAAACTCTGTAGCGACTTGGCGCGAGCAAGGTGGATGCAAGTCATAGTTGGTGATTGGATGGTTACCCCCCAGGGTACCCTCTGGTAAACTAACAGTCTGCTATTGAAAATGGTGATTTTTAGTGGATTTACCCATTGGAAATGGTGATTTTCCGTAGTTATGTTAGTTTACCAGAGAGTAATTTCATGTCATGGGGGTAAAACAATGTCATCAACCACATCATTTGGGAATGGTAAACATACCACCTGTAAAAATGGTGAAATTGGGGGATGTTTTATGGCATTGCTTTATCAACATGAATGTCATAGGTAACTTGACCCATCCCCGAAGTAGCTGAGCCATGAAGAACTCCAAGGTTTTAAGTATCGATGTGTGGATGATACCATAAACAAGGGTTCTTAGCCATATGGGATAGGGTCATGGCTCAGCACCCCTCGTGAGCCGAAGTTGGAGTATGAGGAGAAGTGGCTCGCCGTATGTTGCTTATTTGCTATCTCAACTCATCTAACTGTACGTTTTTAGACTCACAGATGAGTTAATAAGCCAACTGATATCGGGGGAGCATCACTGTTTTTTTCACCTGTTTCATCAATGCCATTCCTCAATTCGACATTCCCCATAATATTGATGGAATGAAACTTGGGGATTCTTGCTACTGGGGGATACTAGGTGATGCCAAAGAAATTGCTGCCATAGATGGATGAATATTGCTATCCTGATATAGTCTTGTTGGACAAATCTAACGTGGCGACGGGATACTTTCCGCCCGTAGAAAATTTACATAGAATCCATCATAATCCACTAGGGATTTCATTTTTTTCAGTGCCATTGTTTGAGTATCAGAAGGTTGTGATGCGGTTAAAAACAATAGTATTCGATACTAATAAGACAATTGTTTGAAAGATGCAACCTCCAGAATTAAAAAAAACAAAACGCATGAGGTCAACAGTCTGAAAATGTCGGAGCCTGGAACGGACAAGAGGACGTAACACGTGGAAATCATTCACAACTCTCAAAGGTAGTAACCGATCTGCTGCAAAAATCCTCATGAAGTAGTGATGCTCTCATGTTTTCCGAGAGATGATGCGACTTCGTCAAATGAGTCTTACATGTGAGTAAAAGATAGTAAAAGTGAGTTTCCACCCCAAAAAAGGGGTTGGATTAATGATGGGTCAACATGCATACTACCGTTATCCCATATTATTTATGTTGGATGAACAGCAGCGTTTGGCATAAACAGGCACCTCAGACGGCCACGTGGAGATGGATGATTCGCAGCTCTTGATGCACTACAACTTGGATCAAGAGTTGCTGGTCGGTGTTGGCTGTCTTTGGCAGTCCGTTCTGTATTGGTTGTTGATGATAGTGCTGCACAGAAAAAGAGTGGCTGGGAGTATGTTATATTATGTAATTGCTGGCAACACGAACGGAAAACCTGCGACGTGACCTTCCAAACAAAAAGCTGATGATTTTCCGGGTGATTTTCCGGGATTTGCCGCCACGTTTGATTCGAAATCACCGAGGTTCACGGTGATCCTGGTGGACGTTCTCCACTCCAACGAGCTGGCGCATTTGAGCTTTGAAGACCCAAAGAGCCTCGCCTTTGTGGCTTGGCGAAGCTCATCCCAGTGGATGTAACTGGTGAGTAACCATGGTTGTACGCCATTTACATATGGGATATCCATGGTTATAAGCCATTTATATATGGGTTAACCTGGTTATAAGCCATTTACATATGGGATAACCCACTATGAGACTTGCCAACCAGGGTTACTACTTACTAAGTGCTGCTCAAAGGGTGGCCCAGTGGTTGTGATCCTATTCCATAGCCCAAAGTTTCTTGTGGAAAAACAACGCCAACTTTTATTTGGCTGCTTCACCTCAGCATTGCATGCTTCACCTCGCCAGTTTTGTCATCATTTCTTAGGCAAATCACCAGTTCCTCACATCACCTTTTTTCCATCGAGGGTCATCTACTGCTCCAGCTATTTGGTAGTAAAGTGTGGCCCAGCTTTAACGAGCAGCATATGTTTGCAGGGTATCTCTCTGTGTCTGACTGTCTGGTGTTTTTTGCGACCTTTCCGGCCTACCGGCCATAGGTTGCATAGGATAACGTAGGATAGGATAAGATAGATTAGATTTTATAGATATACATTAGATAATTAGATAGATAGACAGATAAATAGTAAAGCATCCAATTTTGGCGATACTCAATGGTTTTGACCCAATGAGCAGTTTCAATCAACCAAGTTGCTTGATGATTAGACCAACATTGATGGTTCCAGTTTTGGATGGTTATGTCCCAAAAATCATGGTCCTCACATAGACCTTTGACATGGCAAGTGAAATGTACGCATGCCCACTGTCTTCACTAAGGACTCCGTCACCCAGAAGCATGGCTTGGTCTTGAACGCTTTGCGTGTGGAGGCCAGCTGCGGTCATGGAGCAAAATGGTTTGATCCCCTCCCCGTAATAAGAAAGGCGGGTTTAACCACCAAACATGTGGGCTAAATATTGATTAGCCATGCCGTGAAATGGGTGATATATAGTTAAACAATACATATAATTAGATATAATATTATTTGTAGACATTTATAGTATTATATTTTTGATTTTATATAATATATATTGGTATATATAATACTGTATGTATATGTATATACATAATACTATATATATGATATTATATATAATACTACTTATGATATTATATCTAATACTACATATATATTATTTACAATACCATAATACCATATCTAATATAATATATAATATTAGGTATATAATTTTATATTTAGTATTAGATATATATATATATAATATCACATACATATATAATATTAGATATAAGATCATATGACATGTCCTTATGGGATGTTTCTCTTGATGGGTCCCTCCTTCCAAACGGGACTACGGAAACACCTGCGCGGTGGATCGGTGGACCAGCACACTCCCAGCTATAACTGGTTGTAAGCTCATCCAAAAGTGATTTCAACCAGTTGTACATGAGCTTAATTCATATGAAATGGCTATAACTTGGGCCATTAATCACCATTAATCACCATTAATCACCATAAATCACCATAAATCCCAATTAATTTCCATTCATCACCAGATCTTCCTTAATTCCCATTATAATGATTATAATCATCATTAATCCCAGTGAGTCGCCATGTATCCCCATCAAGACTCTCGGCCGCAGGCCGTGAACGTCCGTGGCAAAGCGGGGGTAAACGTCACAGAGACTGGGCGTGGAGTGAGGTGGCCAAATGGTGCGAGTGGTGAAATGTGGAGAAGATATGTTGATAAATGATGTATATATATATATATATATAATGATAATATATATATATAATTATGTGTATATATATGATGATGATGATGATGATGATGATGATGATGATGATGACGACTTGTTGGTTGTTTTGTTTTTTTGTTTGGTTTTGTTTGGTTTGGCTCAAGCCGCTCGATCCGTCCGCTCCGACCGCTGCATAACCTACTGTCAGCTGTACTTTGCAACCCATGACGGGATTCTTTGCGAAGGTCACTGCAGTACTGGGCTCGGTAGGCATTATGTTTTGGTCTCCCGGCGTTCACGGAAGTTCGGCAAGCTCTCACTATTTGGAGTGCGTGCACATTTGTGTGCAGGATCATGCTGATCTTTTCAGGTCCGAGTCGCGCACATTTGCGGAGATTTTGGCTTTGTTTGCGGACGGTGATGCGTTTTCAACAGCGTTGACTCCGGCTGTACTTTGCCTTGAGTCATGTGGTCAATATCGCGACTACCCGGATACCACGGTCAAACCGTCTCTCCCTGAGGTTGAGTTGGACTTCAGCCCAAAAGCTGGTCCTTTGGTCCTTCATGGTCAGCAGGTCCTTGCGTCTCAACCTCCAATGTCTCTCGTCACTGTGAATGAGGACGAATTTGAAGAGGAAGAGGACTACTCAGAAGAGGACGTGGCGGAACAACCTTCCCGACCTTCAACCACCAACGGCCCTGGATTCGCTTATCAGCAGCCTGATCTAGCAGCTGTGATGGAACAGTTGTTAGCATCTGCTCGTACTACGACCACTACCGCCGTCACTTTTGCTTTGCCTGTAGCGCCCGATTTTAAGGCTGCTCGTAGGCTGGCGTCGGATCCTCCCGCGACCCGCTTGACTTCTGATCTTCCGCGTGCTAAGCCACGTGAGAATTTAAAATCTAAGTCAGGTAAGGGCAAGCCTGAACAACACGTGGCTCTGGTGAAGAAGCAATCCGTTACAAACGCTCAAAGAGCTATCGCTGCCCTTTTGCAAATGGCCGAAGCTTCGGAGACTTCTTCGACTACTTTGGAGCTGCCTTTGACTTCAGATCAGGAGGCAGATGACCTCCCTGAACTGGAGACTGGGGATGAGAGCACATCGGATGATGAATCCCGGGAATCTCCCACGACTTTTAAAGTGGGAGTTCCTAAGGATCTTTTTGACAAGGATGATGCCGCTCAGAAAGCTGCGGGAACTGCCATGTTTTCAATTCGTGCCCACGCCAGAATGGCCTCGACAACAACGTCTAATCCTCAGGCGCGGATTGAGATTCCCCTCACTTTTCAACACTGGGAGTACATCCTCAGGGTTGCAATCTCCCTAATCATCACCACAGTCTTGGTTGTGCTGATTGCGACTTTGAGTTACAAGTGTCGCCGAGCTGAGTCTGCTCCTGAAGCGCCTCCACCTCGCGTTACTGAGCCCAGCGAAGTCAGTGGTCCTCCCGCGCCCTCAGAGGACATCGTTAATGACGTGAGGTTTTTGCGGGGCCCTGGCGTATCCGTGTACAAGTCTGTCGCGCAAGCAGTGTTTTCGAACTTACCGGAAGACAATTTTGGTGCGTTTTGGAACGCTTTGCCTGAAGGACGTCCTGAGAAAGCTCGTCTCGGCAACGAAGGTATTTCCGCTCTTTTGTCAGCTCTTCGTCGAGCTTACAACCCGAAAAACGGAAATTTGGCCCTTTTTGAATCCTTGGGCGCTCATGAGGCGCAGATTGCGCTCATTTATGGCTGCCCTATTGCTCACCTGCTGAGGATGACGTACCATGACGAGAAGGGTGAGCCGGCAGGCAATTCTTCCGCTTTCATGGAGTTGGTTGCCAATCACGCCTCAATTCGCTCCACTGACCCGAGTGTGGACAAGTCTGCGGCTGCCATGATCGACATTGTGTTGACAGATGGTACCAGGGCTTCGACTCAAATCACTTATTTTCAGCTCGCTGCCGCTTTTGCGACTTCCACATTGCCCTTGTCGCTGGCTTACATTGTTTGGAAAGCCATTGGCAGTGGGACTCGCGTCCATCAGAAGTTGTTTCTCACAGCGGGAGCTTTGAGCGGCGGTTTGGGCAACTACAGGAACTGCCGTTGCCTGACCGGTGCGAAAGCTGACAAAGCAGCCCAATACGTCATGTTTGGCGGGAGTGCTACGGAAGGGGTCTTTGTGGAGGCGCTTGCTGTGCCTATCGACCCGCGCGTATGTGACTTCAAAAATATGCGCATGACTCACATCCTGTTCAACGTGACACCTCAGGAGCCTCTGGAAGAGGGCCATGAAGTCACGATGACTTACACGCACAATGGTTCATTTTGGCACGTTCGTGCTCAGAACTATGATACTTACCATGAAAAGGAGTGCGTCCGCTTTCAGAACCAGGCTGGCGAGCAAGTCGCCCATACGCCTGTTGAGGGTCGGGAGTACGTCGGCATGGTGGAGCGACCTGGTGTCTTCTCCGCGGCATCGTGTCAGTTCATGAATCCCTATTTTTCCTACACTTTCGAGGATCATGGCTCTCTGCCTGAGTCGCACACTGCTCCCAAACCTCCGCACGGAAGCAAGGACAGTGAAGAGCATCCCTCAAAGAAAGAGCCTGACGTCGATCAAAAGAAACCAGGCCGAAACGGTGGGCGTGGTAAGAAAAGTGGGAGTGCCAATCCTGCCACCTCAACAGGTGGTAAACAGCGGTCCGTGCTCAACATGCTGATGGCCTGCTATCTGAGTAGTGGCGTTCTTGGAGCGACACGTGATCGGAGCTCATGGGCTTGGCGTCCATCTGCTGTGCCAGACTCTGAGTTTCTGACTCAGCCCCAGCTCTGGGTCAATGACGCTCCTGCCGGCGCAGTCAACACGGTGCTGGAAACTGAGATCGTCGACAATTTTTTGATGGTTCCCATCCGCACCACTATTGAGAACGGGCTCCAGAAAGGCGGCATCGCCGCTCTCATCAGCGATCTCGAAGCTACCGCGGATGACTTGCCGCCTGCATTTTCGATTGTGATCAATGATTTGGCCGGCGCAGGCACTAGCCGCTTAGCCCCCCTTCGAGCCTTTTATGTCGAGATCGGCGCCACTGTGCTTGCTGCACCTTATCATATTTCTGGGGTCGTCCCGAACTTGCGATGTTATGGGTTGCTCGCCGGTTGCACTCCGACTGCAGGCACCATGACCGAAGACGCTGTCAGAGGAATGGCGGAGGCCCTCTCCAATATTCAGTACGATTTCTCGCGTCTGACCACTCTCGTCAGCTTCAGGAGACTCGCTCCTTCAACTTCTTGGAGATTGGCGTTGCGTGGACGTGAGCATCAAACCTTCGCTGTGGTGCGTTCAGCAGTAGGTGGCTACATTTGGCTCAACGATCTTTCATGCGCTAACGTGACTGAGCTGAACGAAGATGACCCGATGCCTTCGAACTTCCTGCAGGTGGCCACTTTGAATCCCAATCATTGTGTCACAACTGTGCATGGAAGAATTCTGGCAGTGTCTGGAAAATGGGCCAAGGCGACGCTCAGCCAAGCCACTGGACTCGTGCCGGCAATAGAGTGTGACGGAATGTTGCCGTCCTCTCGGGTCAAGCCTTTCACGGATGGCAACGTTCGTGGTCTTCAAATGTTAACCCGCGACGTATCCGCAGTAGCGCCCGAAGAGCGCCCTTCGTGGCGCCTGCAAGATGGGACAGAATTGGCAACCAGCCCCTTCATGGCCATCGGCTATGTTGGGTGCATTGCCGAATGTCACCAACTTTCGGCTGTGAGAGAGGACACCCCTGGGGCAGTCTCCGGAGAAGGTGCTTATTACTCGTTCCGCCAGCTTCCACCGCGCTTGTGATTGCATCCCACGCCGTTTCACGAGAGGATAGCCCTCAAAGGGCTTGTCATTGTCCCTCAGCTTGCGCCAGGGATCTAACAGCTGCGTTCCGGTACGGACCAGCTTGTTTTACCACATGCGGAGATATGTGGGTTGCGTGGAACAGTTTGTATTCTGCTTTAGGCATACGTTGTTCCGCACGAAAGAGGATGATCATTAGATCGATTGAGCGGGTCGACTACACTGCTGCTCTGGCAACACTTGTTGGGCCCTCCATTTACATGAGCACTCTCATCGCTGGCATCTGCGTGGAAATTGTCACAGATCGCAACAGGGAGGACGCGCGCGGCTGGGTACATTTGACCGTACTGATCTTCGCTGGGACTTTCACGTATATGTATGGATCAGTGCGAGACGTCACAGTCTCGGGAGTCGTAACCGCGGTTTTGCTATTGCGCAGCGTGTGGGATAGCACTACCATGCGCCCTTCAGCGCAAGAACTCATCGGAGGAGTGGTGGCTCTCGTGGGAAAGGTTTCGTTTTAGAACGCGGGATAATACTCAATTTGAGACGCGACTTTATTACTCATTTTGAAACGCGACACACTCTGTGCCATGGTTTCCATGGTTTCTATTTTTCTCTGCGGTTTTCCATGGTTTTTATGGTTTCCATGATATCTGTGTGGTTTCCATGGTTTCCATGGTTTCCATACTTTCTTTGCGGTTTCCATGGTTTTTGTGGTTTCCATGATCTCTTTGCGGTTTCCATGGTTTCCATGGTTTCCATGATTTCTTTGCGGTTTCCATGGTGTCCATGGTTTCCATGATTTGTCTGCGGTTTCCATGGTTTTCATGATTTCTTCTTGCGGTTTCCATGGTTTCCATGGTTTCCATGATGTCTGCGGTGGTTTTCATGATTTCTTCGTTTCCATGGTTTCCATGATTTCTTGGCGGTTTCCATGGTTTTCCATGGTTTCCATGATTTGTCTGCGGTTTCCATGGTTTCCATGATCTCTTTGCGGTTTCCATGGTTTCCATGGTTTCCATGATTTGTCTGCGGTTTCCATGGTTTCCATGGTTTCCATGATTTGTCTGCGGTTTCCATGGTTTCCATGGTTTCCATGATTTGTCTGCGGTTTCCATGGTTTCCATGGTTTCCACGGTTTCCATGATTTCTTTGCGGTTTCCATGGTTTCCATGATTTGTCTGCGGTTTCCATGGTTTCCCTGTTGTCAAAGATTTCTGTACGGTTTTCATAGTTTGCACGGTTTCCATGGTTTCTGTGTTTCCTGAAGCCTCCCAATGCCAACAAGTGAACCGTCCTGGAACCCTGAACAGCAACTGAGATCCCGACTCCAACCGGAAAAGAAATGTTTCAACCCAAAAAACAAAACCAAGTTTCCCCAAAACTCCAAGCAGCCACCTCGCTGCTAGCTGACGCACCTTTGTGCCGCTTGACATCTAAAAGGCTTCGGTCCGGCCCAGATGCAGGTTCTTCAGGATTCCTAGACAACACCCGGTGAGTTGAAGTCTGGACAACACCCGGTGGGTTGAAGTCAAAGCAAAAGTGGAAGTATTTCCATTTGAGAATTGGGTAAATAGGGATGCATGGAATTCTTACACGCACTCCCCCTATGTGATCAGTTCCACTGACCACATATTCAGCTCAAGCCCTCTAAACAAGTCATAACAAGTCTATCATCTGCAGTGCAGCAAATCGCACATGGATTGAAGGCCCGGAGTGGACCATTGGATCCCGCATCACGACAATGCTCATAATTAATCAACATGAAGTGCATATCCATGTGAGATCGCATACAGCCTATGTTGGGGAACGTCTGACTGTGGGCCACATCTGTGACATCGTGGCGTCAGACAAATTTCCTTGGCATGTCTAAGACCATGACATTCAGGGTCACAGTGGTATCTTCCACCAAATGGCGTGGTGAAAAGGGGTTTTGGTCCTCTTTGGGAACGATCGGGAGAAGCATCAAAAAAAATAAAAATGCATCAAAAAAAATAAAGATGCATCAAAAAAAATATAAATGCATCAAAAAAAATAAATGACCATGAAGAAAGGGGGGAAGGAGGAAAGGAGGGAAGGAGGAAAGGAGGGAAGGAAGGAAGGAGGGAAGGAGGGAAGGAAGGAAGGAAGGAGGGAAGGAGGAAAGGAGGGAAGGAGGAAAGGAGGGAAGGAGGGAAGGAGGGAAGGAGGAAAGGAGAAAAGGAGGGAAGGAAGGAAGGAAGGAAGGCAGGCAGGCAGGCAGACAGGCAGGCAGGCAGGCAGGCAGGAAGGAAGGAAGGAAGGAAGGAAGAAAGGAAATAAGGAGGGAAGGAGGAAAGGAGGAAAGGAAGGAAGGAAGAAAGGAAATAAGGAGGGAAGGAGGAAAGGAGGAAAGGAGGGAAGGAAGAAAGGAGGGAAGTTGGAAAGGAGGGAAGTTGGAAAGGAGGGAAGGAGGAAAGGAGGGAAGGAGGAAGGAGGGAAGGAGGGAAGGAGGGAAGGAGGGAAGGAGGGAAGGATGCAAGGGGGGAACGAAGGGAAGGAAGGAAGGAAAGAAGGAAGGAAGGAAGGAAGGAAGGACCATGTGTGCAGTCAACACTTATCATCGGTTATTTGCGTTCATTCCATCTTCATTGATCTCCATCGCGACTTGTGCCTATGTACTTCTTTCATGTTCTTTCTTGGTACGCATTGCAGGGGACCCCCCCACCCGCTTTTGTTTTTTCATCAGCTTCCCTTCCTACCTACTCTCTTGCCTTTTGCTCATAAGCATCGTTTCTTAGGGTTCATTTTCTCTTTCTTCTTCTTTCAAAATATCCATCGAGACTTGTGCCTATGTGCTTCTTTCTTGATCTTCTCGTTCTTACTTGCAATATATCCATTGAGACTTGTGCCTATGTGCTTCTCTCTTGGTACGCATTGCGGGGGAGGCGCTGCGCCCTCCCCCCTGCACCCCCCTACCCGCTTTTATTTTTTAACCGGTTCCCCTTGCTACCTACTATTCCTTTCTTTTTGCATAAGCATCATCGTTTATTTGGGTTAATTTCATCTTTGCTGATATCCATCGAGACTTGTGCCTCTGTGCTTCTTTCTTGATCTTGTCGTTCTTACTTGCAATATATCCATTCAGACTTGTGC